AAAGAGCTCTCCCTGAAATCCAGGTAAGCCCTGGCCAAATAATGTACTACAATCTGCACCCCAGTCTGTTCTTGCCACAAACCAATTCCACTCAATCTCTTCTTCTGAAAATAAAGTCCCTCTAAATTCCTCCCAGCCAGCAGAATCTGTGTTCAGTCTCGCACAAACCACAAAGTCAGTACCTCATTTCAGAACTCATTTCAGATTTCAAACAAAATAACTCTCACAGGAATGGAAACCAGGTCACAGTCCCCACCCAAACCCACTTGAACTCTAGTAAATTCATTGCCGAGCTCAACATAGGAAACAAGAAACAAATTCATTGCTGAGCTCGTCATAGGAACAGCAAGAGATAGGCCACGCTTACACTTGGATGGAAGTCCAAAGAATCTGTTTGACTTTGATTTAGCCATGGAGCTATTCAGAAGAGATGCTTTGAATTGTTCCTAATTGCTAGAACTGGCATCAACCTTCTCTCAATCTGGATTTGAGCTGAATTCATGCATTTAAAGAGGGACAAATACTTATTGCTGGATAGTAGCTGGAGATAGATTCCTATTTTGAATAAAGCAGAAGGTCCTTACCTCTTCTTGACTGAACCGGTCTGCCTGTGTCATAAGCATTTCTTTGATGCTGTTCAAATAAAACGAAATAACCTGATTAAAGGGTGATAATGGCACATGACAATTCAGATGGCAAGATCCCTCCTGAAGTCGCATGAAAGAAAATCTGTGTGACCGCATAAATTAGAGCTGTTAATCCTTACATGATATTGTAAGGGATTTTCTGTGGGCACCCATCAGTGTCAATGCCTCGCTCTGCCAACTTATTTTGCTTTTGTGACATTTTATAGAGGTTTAAAATTGTTTAAGGTTATTACTCTAATTGAAATACAGCAATTTTGTATGCTTATCTTAACCTAAAATGGTAGGTTTTCTCACTTGCTGTTTAAAGTTTGGATCACTTAACAAAACCAAAAGAGAGAATATTTTCTGTAAAATCTGGGGATGAAAGGAACAGAGCATGAAACGAGAAAGAGGACTTAAAAGAGAACTCCAACAGCTATTCCAAATCATCATCTGAGAATCCCTTTATTTGCATGCAGTCATTCCCGGAGGAGACTGTGAAACTGCATGAGACCTGTTGTATTTCACGGTACAATGTCTTGATCTGGAGTTACAGCACTGTAACAAGGAGCTTATCCCACACACAATCTGCATCCTATGCAATTACATCAAAGAGAGTATTTTTGGGACAGACCCTCAGCTGATTTACCCTCTGTTTTCAAACCCATTGTGGGAAGTCAGTCGAGCATGTAATTTTTTACCTAAGTTTATAGGTGAACAGAAAAGCCAGGAAGAATAATTACTCTTTCTAGCCTAACCCCTTTAGATAAAATGTCTATATTTCACCCACTTACTCGCGTGTTGAGGGCAGTACATGCACGATGTGCTAGAACATCCACCAGTATGAACTCAGTTATATCACATAAACATCCCTTTCACTTGCACTAATAATTTCCCCTTCCTGTAGAAGAATTCCTATATTAATCTCAAAGAGTTTGCATTTGCACTGAAGAGGCAGAGTTGTCTCCTTTTGTTACTACCAAAGGTATTTATACATTATCAGGATTTTTTCTAGATCAGTAAAGCAGAGTATAAACCTGTGATAACAGATGAGCAGTCTGTTGTACAAAAAAAAAAAAGCTGAAACAAGTATAGATATCTGTTTTAGTTTGTAGATTTGAAAAAAGGCTGCTTTTTTGAAGAATTTGTTGTGAGGGAGTGAGAGCAATAGTTTTCTGGAAACAGCCCTTTCTGCTTTTTAAAGTGAATATTTGAAACTAACTATTTATAATAGAAATCATGCCTGCACAGGAACACTTCCATATGAGCAAAATTCACCTACTGTGGATGCAGATGTTCAGGCAAAATAGTAAAGCTTCCCTTTCTGCTCCCATACACCATGCATCTCGAGTGAAAAATGTCACACAGATAAAAGTGTAGTTTTGATGGCAAAGCTACAACTGTACTTCCTCATATCTCTGGCACACATTATTTTTTTCCAGTAAAAGGCTACACAAAGACATATCCCCATTTGCATAAGTGGCATATACAGTTCTGAATCTCTTTCTAGTTGATGTGAAGTGCTCATTTGGAAGGACAGAAGGGGAAAACTGAAAAAAGAAGTTTCTGGGTAATGAATAAGGGTCTTACCCACAAGGACAAGAGTGAAAATATCCATCTAAGTTTTGGGAAATACTCCGAAGTCACAGACAGAGCTTAAGCTGTTGTATATATTTTTCCTGCCTTACTTTACCATTCTCTTTACCTAGCAAAGTCTTTCTTCATCTCTTTCTCTCATATTGCTGTTTCTCTTTTGTTATCCTGGCCATTTGTTATGTGACTGCACTTTTTGGAGTGGAATTCTCAAATGATCAGTGGGTGCAAGGTAGAGAGATCATTCGCATCAGAATAAATTGATTATTGGATATATGTGCACTGGGGCAAACGGCATTAGCAAATGTAAATAGGAAGTGTGATACAGGAAGGAACTTGGTGAACAGAAGGAAGCACTTACAGCAATTTTGTCAGAAGTCACAACTAAACTTCATCACAAACAGGACTGAATTAAAAAGAGGTCTGGGCACTGTGTGTCTTCTATTCACATTATTTAGGGGAAAAGAAAAGATCAGATATCTAATTATAATCTTCTGATGCACAGCCCAGTAGGCTCTGGCACACTCATAAGGAAGAAGGACTGAGTTAAGGATCTATGCACATTTTCCATTATTTATTTTATAGGGAACTGAACACTCACAATTTCCAAAACTACACATTATTCACTTTTTTCTTTGTGTATCTTGTTTTCTTTTTTAAAGACTATTTGCTTCTCAAAAAAAAAAAAAAAGTTTTCTGGGCAAAAAAGAATATCCATTTGCCTTGACGTAGGAGTCTAAATGTTACCTTCTGTCCTAGCTGACATCAGTTCGTTCTACAGTTACAAATACTTTGTTGCATTCTTATATTTTCAAAACCTTTTTTTAAATTAGCTGTGAAATCTCTGGGACATTTTGGTTTTCCACTGGGTTTGCCCTTTCTACAGTGCTCTCTTGGAGAAAATCAGGTGAGTTGAAAGGAGCAGTGCTCTACAACTATGATGAGAAACATCCCTAGCTCAGCCAAACTAACCTCCAAAGGTCCAGAACACATGTAAACTCCCTGGGTCCATTTTCATCTGGTACAAATCTGAAAAGTTTTGTTGGCATCAACATTAGACACAGTTGATGTTGGCCTGACTCACTTTGTCCAATGAATGGCGTTTAGGGCTGAATCATCTAACCTTTCCAAAAGCTATGCCAGTTTACACCAGCTGAGAATCTGACCTAAAGCATTTTCTCTTTTTGACATCATGCTATAGGAAGGATTTTATGTGTGGTATAAAGATGCAGACAAACAAAGTCTGTCATTGAATTTGGAAGTAAGTTATAAACTCCTGGAGCTTCTGGAAAGGTTAGAAGACTCCATCCCAGCTAGCATCAGATGGACTAAGTGAGTCATTTCCAGACTAGAGGTGAAAACACACAGAGGGAAGAGACATAAAAATCCCCAGAAGGATGTTAACTCCATGAACATAAAAAGAAGTTCTGATTAAAAGGTCAACATGGCTGGTTTTGGAGAGAAACATTCCAGGATTTTTTAATATGGAGAAATATTATTTATTAACATTAAGTGTCATATTGAAATGACTGTATGAGCCAACATAAAAATTATTTCAAAACCTTCAAATGTCTAAATTTTGGAAGCATATGAATAGAAGTTAAACCTCAAAGACATTCACGGAATTGATTTAATGGTTTGTTCTGTAATGATCAACATTACCCTCGGGTCTAATAAGTAAACGTTACGCTCTGTTGTGGTGATGAACTAAAACAATTGTCTAATGTTAGTAGTGCAGTGGGGGTGGGGACAAGGTTGACTTTTTCCATCAAGGAAAAATAAAAGTATTTCTCTCGCATCTTAATTTTGGAGTGTGATACTGCATTCCTAATTTGCCCGAAACTCCAACTGGCTTCCAGCATCCAAGGAATGTAGAACTGGACACAGGGTGGCAAGCTGCAGATTTTGTATGCAGTATATTGTTACAGATAGTGGTGGGAAATATAACGTTTCATGGGTTTTGTATTATCAGAAGGTTGTATTTCATGGTTGTGATTTCACTACCGTGTGATCTGGCCTATTTGGCAACAGGCTACATTTTATTCTGACTGTTTGAGTCACTTCTGATGTATTTGTCTTACTGTTCTTCCCAAGCTGTTTGGATAATGTTAACCCCAAAACAATCAGGATGACTGTTAACCCTCCGTTCCTTCTGATTGTTTGCTACATCCACTTGTGTTTTAATTAATTTGGAAGTTCTTTAGTGAAAAGACTGTCTCTTTGCTTTTATTTTGCATATTGCTTACCATAATTGGACTCTGATACCCACTGGGAATTAAGTGCCACTGTCATAGAAAAGCATATTGGTAACAGAAGGAAATATTGTACGTGAATTTTGTATTTTCAACTAACTTTCATGAGACATCAATAATTGCAGATAATGTCATGGAAAACTTCACCTCAGAGGTTCTGGTAACAGGTTTAGTTTTCAGTTACCATATCACAAGATTAGCAGAATTCCTTGATGCAAATACCATTTTGTAACTCATGGTTCCCTAATAAACTTCCTATACATATTATGCTTTATAAAATCTACCTGAAATGGCTGCTGCAGTAAAAGTATAGACCCCAAATTCACCAAGGAATTTAATCATATGCATAAATCTAGGCACATAAAGCATTTCACCGGAGCCATAGGTCAGACCTCCTCATCCACTGCCCCGATTTGATATCATTTGTCTCATTTACCTGAAGGCCTGCTTACACAGTTCTGGCAGTGCAGTAAGGATTTACATTTGTGCAATTAGCACTGAAAGTCCTTTTACCCTGCTTTGTTGGTGTAACAGGTTATGAATACAAATGAGGTCCTGCCTTCTTATTTAAAAATGGCCATATTGACAATAATTGCCTTATTATTAATAGTATTATTTGGTTTGACTACCACCATATCTAGTAGAAATTTACAGCAAATTATTGTCTAGAAGCAGAAGGCTCAAACAGTAAACACATAACAAGGAAAATGTCCTCACTAAACCATGTCCCAGAGTTAATTAAATTGATCACTTTTTTTAAAAGGGGACTAGCTTTCCCATTTTAGTCAAGCACTCTGAGAGTTAGGCACCAGACATTCATTTTAATTTTACATATGGAGTTAATCTGTAAAGAGTCATGTGTTGATTTATATCCAGACCTTCAAAAAAGGCTATCTAATGGCCTACATGTGATTATATTTCCATTGCCTCTTGCAATGTCTGAAGACAATAACATCTCTTTTTGGTATACAAATACATTCATAAAGTAGTCCAGTCTTTTAACTCTGGCTTACAAAGCTAATTGTTTCTCTGCCTGAACAGTTCCTCTGTCTCTTAAAATACTGTGAAAAATATAGCTTTTAAGGAGTTCTTTAAACTGTACAATTATTATTATTATTATTATTATTTTAAAAGGATTTGAAATAAACTTACTAGTCTGCCTTTATGTGGCCTTTTCCTTCTGGGTCGAAAATCTTAAAAGCATTCAGAATGGTTTCTTCTGGGTCCGTGCCTAAAATTAATGAAATATAATTTAGAAGCCTGGATGTATTTCTATAGCTGCTGAACACTTGCTAAGTAATTGCATTCACTTGAAAACAGTGCAAAGGATTTCAAATAAACTTACTAGTCTGCCTTTATGTGGCCTTTTCCTTCTGGGTCGAAAATCTTAAAAGCATTCAGAATGGTTTCTTCTGGGTCCGTGCCTAAAATTAATGAAATATAATTTAGAAGCCTGGATGTATTTCTATAGCTGCTGAACACTTGCTAAGTAATTGCATTCACTTGAAAACAGTGCAAAATGGAGAATTCTGCAGTTGTAGGTTTGAAGACAAAGGTTCCTTAAGTCGGCAGCATTTGTCATGTCAGATAAACAATAGAGGCAAATAGTTCAATGCTCAGAAGCTTAAAAATAATACCTCATATCTATTCTATGTCTGCAGGAGAGAAAACTTCCAGGAACTGGTCTCCAATATCAGTACCCAGAGGATTAGTGGCTTTCAGAAATGAAAATATAACAAACTGTTTCCATCACTGGCTTCCTTTAATCTTGTATTGTACGTTCCTTGTAAAAACACTTTTTGATGTTACTTGTTCTTTGCTATATAGAGAAGAGGTTATTTCCCTCACGAAAGGAAATGGAACTCATCACAAAATCAGAATGTCAGTGGAATGCAATGGAAACAGAATGATCAATGTAAAATGGTGATTTGCACTTACATTCTGTTCTTGCACTTACGTTGTGTCTTTATGCACTTCCACTTAAGTATCTCTTCATTAAGTGTTACTTATCGAAACAGGACGGTTTAAAGCACTAGACTATGGCTCCAAGATTTTGCTTCTGCTCTTAGCTGGGCCACAGACTTTTGGTATGACTTTAATTTCCCTTCTCCTCTGTTCCCAGCAGTAAAATGATAGTAATAGTCTTCCTTTTCTTCCATCCTTTATCTGTCCCATCTATTTAGACTGGAAAAAAATTGGGGCAGGGACTAGCTTTCACGGTGCCTTAAACTTGGCTGGGGTTTCTGACTATTCTGTAATACTGTAGATTCTGAGTATACTCACTTACAGTCAGTTTCAACCCACACCAAAGGATACACTATATACTCTGTTTCTGACCATTCCCCAGTATTTCAAAATATTACGGTAGTATATATAACACAAATCATTATTTATAACTGTAGGAAACCAAATTTACAAGCAGGAAGACTGACCCATGAACAAATGAAGCCATTTGGGATGCTGAAATGTTAAAAGCGTGATTAAAAAAAGGTAATAACATGAAGAATTGCAGTTTCAAAGTTTGTTTCAAAGCCTGGCAGAGAGAGAACCAGAATAGAACCCAGTCAAGGTTCCCTGCTCTAATGACTACATACACTCTTGGTGCCTTCTTAGTTTTCTTTGTCTAAAAGGTTTCACAAGGATTAGTAGTAGTATCTTAGTGGATATAATAGTGAATAAACCTAAGGCTGTATGGCCTCCTTCTTGTCACACACTGGCCATGGATATTTTTTTGCCAAGCTGTAGGCAATGTATTCAAACTGCAATGAATATATGATCAATACAAAGAGTATTGGTATTTAATGAGTGTTTTGATTGCCCCATGAAAAGAAACATCTTCCAGCTCCAAGGAAAGGTCTGCATTTTAAGCAGTCACCACTGTGTGGGGGATTTTTTTTTCCTTACTGTGTTTTACATTTTCTACTCAGTCATATCCTTGGACTTTGGCTTTGAAGAGAAGCAATGCAGCAGGCATTCTTTATTGATTAGCTGGTAAATAAAGTGGTTTCTTTGATGTGCGGCATCTCTGTTTTCTGTACAAATTGTATTATTCTGACTCCCTGTAGAAACAGCTCCATGTGGTTGGCATTAACATAAACCGAGTTTTGTTAGCTGTTCATCTGGCATCATAATCTCCATATACAAAGCTAAAGCTCGTCCCGAAAATCCCAGCTTCCCCTTTATGACAGAAATCAATTATAGCACAACAAATTTTACTTAGAAAGCACCTTTCACCAAATTCTCTGAGTGGTACTTAGCTAATAAAGAGTGTTGCAAAATTGCCATATCCACTTCCTCTAGCCCTTTCTCCCTTTCTAATTGCACTACAAAGGCTCTTCATCCCAATTAGTTTTGATTGGGAATGTGCAGTCTTTTGGCTCTGTTTCCTTTGCATGACAAACCCAACCAGAAGGGCATGACAAGCACAGCTGTGATTTTCCCTTCACCAAATGGAAATTAAAAAAACCCTCCTCCTCTGCTAGTAGCCAACAGGAAACCTGCAGACAAGAGGGGTACACTTTACCATTCACCTTCCTGTGCTGGCTCTGGTTTTAAGCCACACAATTGGCAGGGCCAGACTCTTTGCCAGCTTCAGCAATCATAAAAGACAAGAGGGAAGAGGGGAAAGGAAGAAGAGCTCGTTTCCATGCTCTGTGTGATCATAAGCACCACAAATAGACAGGAATGGGTAGCAGGGCACCCCACAAGAAATAGTCACATATCCCAGAAGGAAGATTATGGAGAAGGGCACTACCTACTCTGCAAGATGACATCTAGAATGTAAAGGTGGAGGTGCCACTGTGATCAAGACAGGTTGATGTCTGGGTAATAAAATCCCCACCTCAGTGTTACTCTACAGCCTTCTCCATCACCTGTTATGCTTCCCAGACATGCTGTGTTCCTTAGCAATAGTGTATTTCTTTGAGGACTAGCTACATTAATTCTTTCTTTCAGACCTCTCTATTTTCTACTCCTTGCTTGCTTGCAAGCATAGCAAGCCCTTCACGGAAAGTGTGCTCAGCAATATAAAGCCAGAGTCCAGCAGCAATACAATAAATGTTTTTAAGAAGATGCAATCCGATTTTTCCTTTTTTCTGTTCGTTAGTTATTTTAACAAACTTCTGGAGTGTGTTTGGCTAAGGCCAACTTTGCTTTGAAGGTCAGGGCTTTCACCTATCTCTAATGCATATAGGAAGATGACTAGAGGTTTCTCTTGGCCTCACACTCCCTCTCTTGCAGTTTCTAACCATTAACAGTATAAGAGATATGACTAAATTACTAGCTCCTACAACTAATTTAGTACCCACATTTTCTGAACTCCCTACAGTGATCCCTATATATTATGTGCAAATGGGCAAAATTCCTCTCCCTTATTACTGTAAATCCACTGAGATTAAATTATTTCAATTTATCCACTCCAGTAAGAGTTATTCAGTGAAATCTTCATCCAGTGGCAAAATCGCTATTGACCTCAAGTGAAACCAGGGCTGGGCCACTGGGTTACAACTAACACAGAAAATGAGGGAGGGCCATGTTGCTCCTTCATGCCCTATAACTGCAAGGATGATGCAGAGGTCATGTCTGCATAATGAGCCAAAGGAGTGCAGAAAGTTTTTTTGTAGAAGTACTGAAAATACTTTTAAACCAGCTAACACTGGGAGTGATACCACTATAGCATGAGCAACAGGAACCTACTGACGGTGAATGACTCATCTACACTGTGCTCCAGGCTGCCATGATTTCATTACTTTCTGGACCTCAATTTACCACTTTCATGTTAGCTTATGTAAGCTGAAATCACACCTTTGAATTGTCCTCTGGACCGTCCCTTAGCCTTTTCATACTTCATCTCTGTCTGCAAAAATGGAGGTCACTCCTTGCCTTTAAGCATTGTTCTGTGGATACATTATTATAATTTGCAAGGTGCTGAGATATTTCAGTGCTGAGGATCTTTGACAGATACCTCTCCAACCCCCCAAAGGTATGTACCTTTCAGCTTTTCCCCAAACATAGTAAGGAAGACAGTGAAGTTAATAGGACCTGGCGCCTCCTTCACCATGTCTTCAAGCTCTTCATTCTTGACATTCAGACGACCTGCAGCAGAGATCATTTTTCATAATAAATCACAAATTGTGTTTCAAAAAATGATTCCCATTCATCTCCTCCCACTGGGGAGCTCAGGGCTCTGTGCAACTTTGCTAATAACATGGTAGAACACAACTCTGGAATACCCTGGTGTAAAACAAATTGGCAGAGCTGGCGCTAAGATCAAAGGGTGACTGAAGGAGTAAGAAGGATAAATAATAGGGATGTGGCCAGCAGTGGACGGAAGAAGGGGCACTTCCAAATAAATTGTTTTTCTTCTTTGTTTTTTTACCCCAGGTGAAATACGGGCCCCTCTGATATTAATATAGTAGAGTTCGAAGTGACTGAAGTGAATCCAAGGTCTCAGTCTTTGCCCTCCTGTATATTGAGATGCCTTTCTGAGTAGAGGGCAGATGGATGAGTTGAGTAGTTGCATCCCTTCCCCATCCTTGTACAGTCCTACTGATGAGAATTTAGACCCTGGCAACTCTACTCAAATTGAGTGGTGATTTGCTGTGACTGTACTTTATAGGCATTGAAGGGCTTCACTGAATGGGAAAGATACCAGAACTTGGCCTTAAGAAATAAATATTTCAGGGTAACAGTAGCTACAGGCCAAAGTTTGCAAACCTCATTGTCGCAATAAAGAGTTCAGGAGCTTCTGCTCTTTGCACTGACTCTGCTGGCATCTGATTCCACCCCAGGGAGCACTAAAGATTCTTATCAAACTCTTTTTAATAAGATCCAGATGGCAAAAAGCCCAAATTCCTACATCACTGTTCAAGCCTCAAATGTTGCAACAAGGATACAACTCCAGGTTTGGGATCAAGAACATTTTGATTTTTCCTTTCTTTGGGAAGTTTTTCTTTAATCTGCTTGATATTATTAGGATTGTGATGCACGTGGAATGGACAATACCTAATCTCATGACATGCACATTCCACCCCGCATAAACGCGCAACAGCACAGAACCTCACATGAAGTCTTCCTACTTTTGTGTGGGCAGAGGGGCAGCTAGGCCATGACAACAACGTTAATTGGTAGATATTGCATGGCTCCTAGATGAAAAAGGTGCAGCCTGTGAAGCCTGGATTCAGAGGCACATCAGAAAGGCATGGACCCCTGCTTGGGTGGGCTTTTTATGAAAGATTTGCAGGGGAGGGATCAGTGCCTTTGGAGAGTTGCCAGCTGCACAGCTCTGTTGCACCCGCCAGTGAGTCCCAGAGAGACCTTAATTTCATTTCTGAAAGAGGCTGCTCAGGAGACTTTCCAGCTGGAGTTATGTAGTAAGATAGCAACTACCATAAAGGCAGAAGATCAAACTGAACAGGTTTCCTTTTGCCTCCTGTGTATCTCATTACTTCTCCCGCCATAATTCTAATACAAACTTTTCTTATGTGCTTGAAATTTAAACTGCATTTCTTTTAGGTATTTGATTATTACTACCAGTTTACCTAGTGCAGCAAATGTGTCTCTCAAGTCTGCTTTGTCAATAAAGCCGTCCCTGTTCTGATCCATGATGGTAAAAGCCTGTTGGAAGAAAAAGGAAAATTTATTGCCATTGCCATGTTGCACTGGACAGTGCTACAATCACACATACCGGTCCAGGGGGGTATTATATTCATGCTGTGAAGAAGAATATTTAACTTCCTTTGACTCATCCACATCATGCCACATCATTGCACTTTCCTCACTTTCAACACATTACTGTATCTTGGCAAGGGGCTTAATTAAACCCACCCAAACTTCTTCTTACTAAATTAATGCTCAATGCAGCGTGTAGCTGGGCTGAAGCCAATGCTGGCAGCTCCAGCCATTCAGGCCTTAACCCATAAAAGTTTGAATTAGGGAGGCTTTAGTTAGGGAGGATTTAGTCAGTGGTTACTGCGTGTGTTTTGTACCTTTCCCATACCTCATTCCTTTCTGCAGCTATCATATACTGTAAAACATTTAATTACTGTAGATCAAGATAAAGTCAATTTCTTCTGGACCTCAAAATGATCCTTCATACAGAGATAGCTGAATTTTCAAAAGTACAGAGAAATGTAGCTTTCATAGTATTATTTATTCAAAGTTTGTTTCCCTTTCCAATAAATTGTATCCTTCAGACTGTACTCTGTGCTCTGACTGACCTTGATGTGTTGACCTTAAATAGTTCTTGTCAGGCAAAATTTAACTTTTGATAGAAAAAAAACAGTTTTTTTTTCTATTTTCAGCCAACACAAAATTTATATACTCTAACCATTTTTTACCAAGCCAGCTAACTGACTATCTATTTATTTACCTGTTTGCATGTCTGTCTATTTGCTGCCATCACACTTTTAATGTTTCATTGATTTTGAAAGATTTTAATGACCTGAAATTCCCCTTATCATACTATGGGGAATATTAGTAGAACCAGGCATGTCTCTGAAGCTGGTTATCTGTCTGACATGCACATCAATATGAGAGTGTATCTTTACAGTGACCAGGAATTATTCTTACTTCAGTGTTATTATGAAAGACAATGTTCTCCTGAGAATACAGCTAGTCCATTGCAGCTACAGTAACTTGCGGAGTTTTACAGTAACTTGCAGAGTTTTAAAGTCTACTGTTCTACAGGCTGCACTTCTTTGCATGATCGTATTATATCAACATATTTTCATGTAGTTTTACCTCCACTTTCTTACGAAGCCCCACTGCTCACATTCCAGTTTGCCCATGTGATTATTTGCAGTGTGCATGTTCATAACCCTTCATTTACCTGCCAAACCATCACCTAATAAAAAATTAAGCCCAACTCTTTAGAGTTGCTTTCCCTCCTTTTTGGGGGGGCTTGCTTTAAATGGCGATCCCCACAATTTGGAAGCAAACCAGAAGAAAATATGAAGAGCAAAGCAGAGCCCAGCAAGC